ACGTACGTACACACACACGTACACACGTACACACATACACACACACACGTACACACATACACACACGCACGTACACACATACACACACACACGTACACACACGTACACACACACACAAGTACACACACGTACACACACAAGTACACACGTACACACACACGTACACACACGTACGTACACACGTACACACACACACGTACACCCACACACGTACACACACACACACACACGTACACACACACGTACACACACACGTACACACACACACACGTACACACACGTACACACACACACACGTACACACACACACGTACACACACACACACGTGCACACACACGTACACACACACACACGTACACACACACACGTACACACACACACGTGCACACACACGTACATACACACACACGTACATACACACACACGTACATACACACACACGTACACACACATGTACACACGTACACACACACAAGTACACACGTACACACACGTACACACACGTACACACGTACACACAAGTACACACAAGTACACACACACAAGTACACACACACACGTACACACACACAAGTACACACACACGTACACACACACAAGTACACACACGTACACACACACGTACACACACACACGTACACACACACACGTACACACACACACGTACACACACACACGTACACACACATGTACACACACACACACGTACACACACACATGTACACACACGTACACACACGTACACACACACGTACACACACACACGTACACACACACAAGTACACACACACACGTACACACATACACACACACACGTACACACACATGTACACACACACACACGTACACACACACATGTACACACACGTACACACACACACGTACACACACACAAGTACACACACACACACGTACACACATACACACACACGTACACACACGTACACACACACGTACACACACACGTACACACACACACGTACACACACAAGTACACACGTACACACACACACGTACACACACAAGTACACACGTACACACACACACGTACACACATACACACACACACACGTACACACACGCATGTACACACACACACACACGTACACACACGTACACACACACAAGTACACACACACAAGTACACACACGCACGCACTCTCTCACCTGCAGAGAGAAAGGAGAATCCGTCTGCTGATTTGAACGGAGCCCGGGCCAGCATCGTGATTTGGTCAGTCACCTTCCCTGCAAATCAGCAAAACCATTGACACTGACTCAAGAATGACACAACGCTGACACACACACACTGACACACACACACTGACACACACACACACTGACACACACACACACACACTGACACACACACTGGCACACACACGCTGACACACACACACTGACACACACACACTGACACACACACACACACACTGGCACACACACGCTGACACACACACACTGACACACACACACTGACACACACACACACTGACACACACACACTGACACACACACACACACTGACACACACACACACTGACACACACACTGATAGACACACACTGACACACACTGACACACACACTGATAGACACACACACACACACACTGACACACACTCTGACACACACACACTGACACATACACACTGACACACACTAACACACACACACACTGGCACACACACACTGGCACACACACACTGACACACACACACTCACACACACACTGATAGACACACACACACTGACACACACTAACAGACACAGACACACACTGACACACACTAACAGACACACACACTGACACACACACACTGACACACACACACTGACACACACACACTGACACGCTCGTCACCGATGATGAAGGGGTCACTGAGGTCACTGATGACGAAGGGCTGCTTGGGAATTGCCTGCATGTTCTGCAAAGACACACAGAGACACACAGATAGACAGAGACACACAGAGACACAGAGAGACACAGAGAGACAGAGACACACAGAGACAGAGATAGAGAGACACACACAGAGACACAGAGAGACACAGAGATACACAGATAGACAGAGAGACACAGAGACACACAGATAGACAGAGAGACACAGAGATAGAGAGACACACACAGAGACACAGAGATACACAGAGAGACACAGAGAGACACAGAGATACACAGAGACACAGAGACACACAGAGAGACACAGAGAGACAGAGACACACATAGACACAGAGATAGAGAGACACACAGAGAGACACAGAGAGACAGAGACACAGAGATACACAGAGATACACACAGAGCGACACGCACAGAGAGAAAGAGAGAGACACACAGAGACACACAGATACACACAGAGACACAGAGAGAAAGAGAGACACACACAGAGATACACAGAGAGAGACACACAGAGACACACAGAGACACAGAGACACACAGAGATACACAAAGACACACACAGAGATACACACAGAGAGATAGAGAGACACAGAGATACACAGAGACAGAGACACACACAGATACACACAGAGACACACAGAGAGACACACAGAGATAGAGACACACACACAGAGACACACACAGATACACACAGAGACACACAGAGAGACACACAGAGATAGAGACACACACACAGAGACACACAGAGATACACAAAGACACACACAGAGATACACACAGAGAGATAGAGACACTCACACAGAGACACACAGAGATACACAAAAACACACACAGAGATACACACAGAGAGATAAAGAGACACAGAGATACACAGAGACAGAGACACACACAGATACACACAGAGACACACAGAGAGACACACAGAGATAGAGACACACACAGAGAGACACAGAGATAGAGACACTCACACAGAGACACACAGAGATACACAAAGACACACACAGAGATACACACAGAGAGATAGAGAGACACAGAGATACACAGAGACAGAGACACACACAGATACACACAGAGAGACACACAGAGATAGAGACACACACAGAGAGACACACAGAGATAGAGACACACACAGAGAGACACACAGAGATAGACACACAGAGATAGAGACACAGACACAGAGACACACAGAGATACACAGAGAGACACACATAGAGAGACACACAGATACAGAGACACACACAGATACACACAGAGCGACACGCACAGAGAGAAAGAGAGACACACACAGAGACACACAGATACACAGAGATACACACAGAGATACACACACAGAGAGATAGAGAGACACACACAGATACACACAGAGATACACACACAGAGACACAGAGATACACAGAGATACACACAGGGAGATAGAGAGACACACACAGAGACACACAGAGACACACAGAGAGATAGAGAGACACACACAGATACACACAGAGAGAAAGAGAGACACAGAGACACACAAAGATACACACAGAGCGACACGCACAGAGAGAAAGAGAGACACACACAGATACACAGATACACAGAGAGACACACACAGAGATACACACAGAGAGATAGAGAGACACACACAGAGAGACACACAGAGAGATAGACACACACAGAGACACACAGAGACACACACAGAGACACACAGAGACACACAGAGAGACACACAGAGAGACACACAGAGAGACACAGAGAGACACACACAGAGATACACACAGAGACACACAGAGACACACACAGAGAGACACACAGAGAGATAGAGAGACACACACAGAGACACACAGAGTCACACAGAGAGACACAGAGAGACACACACAGAGACACACAGAGACACAGAGACACACAGAGATACACAAAGACACACACAGAGATACACACAGAGAGATAGAGAGACACAGAGATACACAGAGACAGAGACACACACAGATACACACAGAGACACACAGAGAGACACACAGAGATAGAGACACACACACAGAGACACACACAGATACACACAGAGACACACAGAGAGACACACAGAGATAGAGACACACACACAGAGACACACAGAGATACACAAAGACACACACAGAGATACACACAGAGAGATAGAGACACTCACACAGAGACACACAGAGATACACAAAAACACACACAGAGATACACACAGAGAGATAAAGAGACACAGAGATACACAGAGACAGAGACACACACAGATACACACAGAGACACACAGAGAGACACACAGAGATAGAGACACACACAGAGAGACACAGAGATAGAGACACTCACACAGAGACACACAGAGATACACAAAGACACACACAGAGATACACACAGAGAGATAGAGAGACACAGAGATACACAGAGACAGAGACACACACAGATACACACAGAGAGACACACAGAGATAGAGACACACACAGAGAGACACACAGAGATAGAGACACACACAGAGAGACACACAGAGATAGACACACAGAGATAGAGACACAGACACAGAGACACACAGAGATACACAGAGAGACACACATAGAGAGACACACAGATACAGAGACACACACAGATACACACAGAGCGACACGCACAGAGAGAAAGAGAGACACACACAGAGACACACAGATACACAGAGATACACACAGAGATACACACACAGAGAGATAGAGAGACACACACAGATACACACAGAGATACACACACAGAGACACAGAGATACACAGAGATACACACAGGGAGATAGAGAGACACACACAGAGACACACAGAGACACACAGAGAGATAGAGAGACACACACAGATACACACAGAGAGAAAGAGAGACACAGAGACACACAAAGATACACACAGAGCGACACGCACAGAGAGAAAGAGAGACACACACAGATACACAGATACACAGAGAGACACACACAGAGATACACACAGAGAGATAGAGAGACACACACAGAGAGACACACAGAGAGATAGACACACACAGAGACACACAGAGACACACACAGAGACACACAGAGACACACAGAGAGACACACAGAGAGACACACAGAGAGACACAGAGAGACACACACAGAGATACACACAGAGACACACAGAGACACACACAGAGAGACACACAGAGAGATAGAGAGACACACACAGAGACACAGAGTCACACAGAGAGACACAGAGAGACACACACAGAGACACACAGAGATACACAGAGACACACACAGAGAGAGACACACAGAGATAAAGAGAGACACACAGAGACAGAGACACGCAGAGACACGCAGAGACACACAGAGAGACACACAGAGATACACACAGAGAGATAGAGAGACACACAGAGAGATAGAGAGACACACACAGAGACACGCAGAGACACACGCAGAGACACACACAGAGACACACAGAGAGACACACAGAGAGACACACAGAGAGACACACAGAGAGATAGAGAGACACACAGAGAGACACACAGAGACACACAGAGACAGAGAAACACTGTATTCCATTACTATTGTTCTCCACCTCCCTTTCTATTGTTCTGTCTGTCTGCCTTTCTATTGTTATCTGTCTGTCTGAATTTCAATTGTTCTCTGTCTGTATCCCTTTCTATTGTTCTCTGTCTCCCTTTCTATTGTTATCTGTCTGTCTGAATTTCTATTGTTCTCTGTCTGTCTCCCTTTCCATTGTTCTCTGTCTCCCTTTCCATTGTTCTCTGTCTGTCTCCCTTTCTATTGTTCTGTCTCCCTTTCCATTGTTCTCTGTCTCCCTTTCTATTGTTCTCTGCCTGTCTCCCCTTCTATTGTTCTCTGTCTCCCTTTCTATTGTTCTCTGTCTGTCTCCCTTTCTATTGTTCTCTGTCTGTCTCCCTTTCTATTGTTCTCTGTCTGTCTCCCTTTCTATTGTTCTCTGTCTGCCTTTCTATTGTTCTCTGTCTGTCTGAATTTCAATTGTTCTCTGTCTGTATCCCTTTCTATTGTTCTCTGTCTCCCTTTCTATTGTTATCTGTCTGTCTGAATTTCTATTGTTCTCTGTCTGTCTCCCTTTCCATTGTTCTCTGTCTCCCTTTCCATTGTTCTCTGTCTGTCTCCCTTTCTATTGTTCTGTCTCCCTTTCCATTGTTCTCTGTCTCCCTTTCTATTGTTCTCTGTCTCCCTTTCTATTGTTCTGTCTGTCTCCCTTTCTATTGTTCTCTGTCTGTCTCCCTTTCTATTGTTCTCTGTCTGTCTCCCTTTCTATTGTTCTCTGTCTCCCTTTCTATTGTTCTCTGTCTCCCTTTCTATTGTTCTCTGTCTGTCTCCCTTTCTATTGTTCTCTGTCTCCCTTTCTATTGTTCTCTGTCTCCCTTTCTATTGTTATCTGTCTGTCTGAATTTCTATTGTTCTCTGTCTGTCTCCCTTTCCATTGTTCTCTGTCTCCCTTTCCATTGTTCTCTGTCTGTCTCCCTTTCTATTGTTCTGTCTCCCTTTCCATTGTTCTCTGTCTCCCTTTCTATTGTTCTCTGCCTGTCTCCCCTTCTATTGTTCTCTGTCTCCCTTTCTATTGTTCTGTCTGTCTCCCTTTCTATTGTTCTCTGTCTGTCTCCCTTTCTATTGTTCTCTGTCTGTCTCCCTTTCTATTGTTCTCTGTCTCCCTTTCTATTGTTCTCTGTCTCCCTTTCTATTGTTCTCTGTCTCCCTTTCTATTGTTTCTGTCTGTGTCCCTTTCTATTGTTCTCTGTCTCCCTTTCTATTGTTCTCTGTCTCCCTTTCTATTGTTCTCTGTCTCCCTTCTATTGTTCTCTGTCTCCCTTTCTATTGTTCTCTGTCTGTCTCCCTTTCTATTGTTCTCTGTCTCCCTTTCTATTGTTCTCTGTCTCCCTTTCTATTGTTCTCTGTCTCCCTTTCTATTGTTCTCTGTCTCCCTTTCTATTGTTCTCTGTCTCCCTTTCTATTGTTCTCTGTCTCCCTTTCTATTGTTCTCTGTCTCCCTTTCTATTGTTCTCTGTCTCCCTTTCTATTGTTCTCTGTCTCCCTTTCTATTGTTCTCTGTCTCCCTTTCTATTGTTCTCTGTCTCCCTTTCTATTGTTCTCTGTCTCCCTTTCTATTGTTCTCTGTCTCCCTTTTATATTGTTCTCTGTCTGCCTTTCTATTGTTCTCTGTCTGTCTCCCTTTCTATTGTTCTCTGTCTGTCTCCCTTTCTATTGTTCTGTCTGTCTCCCTTTCTATTGTTCTCTGTCTCCCTTTCTATTGTTCTCTGTCTGTCTCCCTTTCTATTGTTCTCTGTCTGTCTCCCTTTCTATTGTTCTGTCTGTCTGAATTTCTATTGTTCTCTGTCTGTCTCCATTTCCATTGTTCTCTGTCTGTCTTCCTTTCTATTGTTATCTGTCTGTCTGAATTTCTATTGTTCTCTGTCTGTCTCCCATTCTATTGTTCTCTGTCTCCTTTTCTATTGTTCTCTGTCTGTCTCCCATTCTAATGTTCTCTGTCTGTCTCCCTTTCTATTGTTCTCTGTCTGTCTCCCTTTCTATTGTTCTCTGTCTCCCTTTCTATTGTTCTCTGTCTCCCTTTCTATTGTTCTCTGTCTCCCTTTCTATTGTTCTCTGTCTCCCTTTCTATTGTTCTCTGTCTCCCTTTCCATTGTTCTCTGTCTCCCTTTCTATTGTTCTCTGTCTCCCTTTCCATTGTTCTCTGTCTCCCTTTCTATTGCTCTCTGTCTGTCTCCCTTTCTATTGTTCTCTGTCTGTCTCCCTTTCTATTGTTCTGTCTCCCTTTCTATTGTTCTCTGTCTCCCTTTCTATTGTTCTCTGTCTGTCTCCCTTTCTATTGTTCTCTGTCTCCCTTTCCATTGTTCTCTGTCTCCCTTTCTATTGCTCTCTGTCTGTCTCCCTTTCTATTGTTCTGTCTTCCTTTCTATTGTTCTCTGTCTCCCTTTCTATTGTTCTCTGTCTGTCTCCCTTTCTATTGTTCTCTGTATCCCTTTCTAGTGTTCTCTGTCTCCCTTTCTATTGTTCTCTGTCTGTCTCCCTTTCTATTGTTCTGTCTCCCTTTCTATTGTTCTCTGTCTCCCTTTCTATTGTTCTGTCTCCCTTTCTATTGTTCTCTGTCTCCCTTTCTATTGTTCTCTGTCTCCCTTTCCATTGTTCTGTCTCCCTTTCTATTGTTCTCTGTCTCCCTTTCTATTGTTCTGTCTCCCTTTCTATTGTTCTCTGTCTCCCTTTCTATTGTTCTCTGTCTCCTTTTCTATTGTTCTCTGTCTGTCTCCCTTTCTATTGTTCTCTGTCTCCCTTTCTATTGTTCTCTGTCTCCCTTTCTATTGTTCTCTGTCTCCCTTTCTATTGTTCTCTGTCTCCCTTTCTATTGTTCTCTGTCTCCCTTTCTATTGTTCTCTGTCTCCCTTTCTATTGTTCTCTGTCTCCCTTTCTATTGTTCTCTGTCTCCCTTTCTATTGTTCTCTGTCTGTCTCCCTTTCTATTGTTCTCTGTCTGTCTCCCTTTCTATTGTTCTCTGTCTGTCTCCCTTTCTATTGTTCTCTGTCTCCCATTCTATTGTTCTCTGTCTCCCTTTCTATTGTTCTCTGTCTCCCTTTCTATTGTTCTCTGTCTCCCTTTCTATTGTTCTCTGTCTCCCTTTCTATTGTTCTCTGTCTCCCTTTCTATTGTTCTCTGTCTCCCTTTCTATTGTTCTCTGTCTCCCATTCTATTGTTCTCTGTCTCCCTTTCTATTGTTCTCTGTCTCCCTTTCTATTGTTCTCTGTCTCCCTTTCTATTGTTCTCTGTCTCCCTTTCTATTGTTCTCTGTCTCCCTTTCTATTGTTCTCTGTCTCCCATTCTATTGTTCTCTGTCTCCCTTTCTATTGTTCTCTGTCTCCCTTTCTATTGTTCTCTGTCTCCCTTTCTATTGTTCTCTGTCTCCCTTTCTATTGTTCTCTGTCTCCATTTCTATTGTTCTCTGTCTCCCATTCTATTGTTCTCTGTCTCCCTTTCTATTGTTCTCTGTCTCCCTTTCTATTGTTCTCTGTCTCCCTTTCTATTGTTCTCTGTCTCCCTTTCTATTGTTCTCTGTCTGCCTTTCTATTGTTCTCTGTCTCCACCACTCACCGGCTTCTTGCAAGCCAGACGGCCGCTCACGGCCGCTGTCTGTTCCCAGCTGGTGGTGAGACGGCCCTGTGGGGTGGTGACGGTGGTGGTGGTGGTGACGGTGGTGGTGGTGATGGTGGTGGTGGTGGTGATGGTGGTGGTGATGGTGGTGGTGATGGTGGTGATGGTGGTGGTGATGGTGGTGGTTGTGGGGTGGTGACGGTGGTGACGGTGGCGGTGGTGATGGTGGTGGTGATGGGGATGGTGGTGGTGATGGTGGTGGTGATGGTGGTGATGGTGGTGACGGTGGTGGTGGTGGTGACGGTGTTGGTGGTGACGGTGGTGGTGGTGGTGATGGTGGTGATGGTGGTGGTGATGGTGGTGACGGTGGTGGTGGTGGTGACGGTGTTGGTGGTGACGGTGGTGGTGGTGGTGATGGTGGTGATGGTGGTGGTGATGGTGGTGGTGGTGGTGACGGTGGTGGTGAGGGTGGGGGGTGGGGGGCGACAGAGCCACGAGCACTGCTGATGATTCCCCATCAAGGGAGGAGGCGAAACCGAGAGGTGACCTCATCACCTCAACACCCTCCCGTACCCCTCGTGACCTCGTGGTGCACCTAGCCTGGCACCTGGGGCTGTCACGTGACCTCGTGGTGCACCTAGCCTGGCACCTGGGGCTGTCACGTGACCTCGTGGTGCACCTAACCTGGCACCTGGGGCTGTCACGTGACCTCGTGGTGCACCTAGCCTGGCACAGCAGTCGACCTACGCCACCTGGGACTGTCACGTGACCACCTCGTGGTGCACCTAGCCTGGCACAGCAGTCGACCTACGGCACCTGGGACTGTCACGTGACCTCGTGGTGCACCTAGCCTGGCACGTACGTTCCGTACAAAGTTGAGGAGTCCATCCAAGTATGTGGACTTCATCTTGTGGACCTGCAGTGAGGCACATCACCATCATCAACATCACCATCATCATCACCGTCATCATCATCATCACCATCATCATCATCATCACCGTCATCATCATCATCACCATCATCACCATCATCAACATCATCAACATCACCATCAACATCACCATCAACATCATCACCATCATCAACATCATCAACATCATCAACATCACCATCATCTATCCATCATCACCACCATCATCATCATCATTAACATCACCATCATCACCATCAACATCATCACCATCACCACCATCATCATGATCAACATCATCATGATCAACATCACCATCATCAACATCACCATCAACACCATCATCATCAACATCACCATCACCATTATCAACATCACCATCATCACCATCATCAACATCATCACCATCATCATCATCAACATCATCACCATCACCATCATCACCATCATCACCATCACCATCATCACCATCGCCATCATCATCACCATCATCACCATCACCATCAACAACATCACCATCATCACCATCAATATCATCACCATCATCACCATCATCAACATCATCACCACCATCATCACCACCTATCATCATCACCATCATCATCACCGTCATCAACATCACCATCATCAACATCACCATCATCACCATCATCACCATCAACACCACCATCATCACCATCACCATCATCACCATCATCATCATCATCACCATCATCACCATCATCAACATCACCATCATCACCATCAACACCACCATCATCACCGTCATCAACATCACCATCATCACAATCATCAACATCATCAACATCACCATCATCAACATCACCATCATCACCATCAACACCATCATCATCACCGTCATCAACATCACCATCATCAACATCATCACCACCATCATCATCAACATCATCAACATCACCAACATCACCATCATCACCATCATCACCATCATCACCATCACCATCATCACCATCACCATCATCAACATCACCATCGCCATCATCACCATCAACCTCACCATCATCATCACCATCACCACCATCAACATCATCATCACCATCGCCATCATCACCATCAACATCATCAACATCACCATTATCACTACCATCATCAACATCGTCACCATCACCACCACCATCATCATCACCATCCCCACCATCACCTACACCACCACCATCACCTACACCACCACCATCACCACCATCATCACACCATCACCACCATCATCATCACCATCACCACCATCACCATCATCACCATCATCATCACCACCATCATCATCACCATCATCATCACCATCATCACCATCATCATCACCATCATCACCATCATCATCAACATCATCACCGCCATCATCACCATCACCATCATCACCATCATCACCATCACCATCATCACCACCATCACCATCATCATCAACAACACCATCATCATGACCATCATCATCATCACCATCGCCATCATCACCATCATCAACATCACTATCATCACCGTCATCAACATCATCAACATCACCATCATCAACATCACCATCATCACCATCATCAACATCACCATCATCATCATGAACATCATCAACATCACCATCATCACCATCACCATCATTACCATCATCAACATCACCATCATCAACAACACCATCATCACCACCGGCATCACCATCATCACCATCATCACCATCATCAACATCACCATCATCACCATCATCAACATCACCATCATCAACATCATCAACATCACCATCGCCATCATCATCACCACCACCATCATCACCACCACCATCATCACCATCATCACCATCATCATCAACACCATCACCATCAACATCACCATCATCACCATCACCATCATCACCATCATCATTGCCATCACCATCACCATCATCACCATCACCATCATCACCATCATCATCACCATCATCACCATCATCACCATCATCAACATCACCATCATTACCATCATCAACAACATCACCATCACCACCACCATCATCACCATAATCACCATCATCATCACCATCATCATCATCACCATCACCATGATCACCATCATCATCACCATCATCACCATCATCACCATCATCAACATCACCATCATCATCACCATCATCATCACCATCGCCATCATCGCCATCATCATGGATGAGTGTTCTATCCACTGCTGGATGAGTGCTCTATCTACTGCTGGATGAGTGTTCTATCTACTGCTGGATGAGTGCTCTATCTACTGCTGGATGAGTGCTCTATCTACTGCTGGATGAGTGCTCTATCTACTGCTGGATGAGTGCTCTATCTATTGCTGGATGAGTGTTCTATCTACTGCTGGATGAGTGCTCTATCTACTGCTGGATGAGTGTTCTATCTACTGCTGGATGAGTGTTCTATCTACTGCTGGATGAGTGTTCTATCTACTGCTGGATGAGTGCTCTATCTACTGCTGGATGAATGTTCTATCTACTGCTGGATGAGTGCTCTATCTACTGCTGGATGAGTGTTCTATCTACTGCTGGATGAGTGCTCTATCTACTGCTGGATGAGTGTTCTATCTACTGCTGGATGAGTGCTCTATCTACTACTGGATGAGTGCTCTATCTACTGCTGGATGAGTGTTCTATCTACTGCTGGATGAGTGCTCTATCTACTGCTGGATGAGTGTTCTATCTACTGCTGGATGAGTGCTCTATCTACTGCTAGATGAGTGTTCTATCTACTGCTGGATGAGTGCTCTATCTACTGCTGGATGAGTGCTCTATCTACTGCTGGTTGAGTGTTCTATCTACTGCTGGATGAGTGTTCTATCTACTGCTGGATGAGTGCTCTATCTACTGCTGGATGAGTGCTCTATCTACTGCTGGATGAGTGCTCTATCTACTGCTGGATGAGTGCTCTATCTACTGCTGGATGAGTGCTCTATCTACTGCTGGATGAGTGCTCTATCTACTGCTGGATGAGTGCTCTATCTACTGCTGGATGAGTGTTCTATCTACTGCTGGATGAGTGTTATATCTACTGCTGGATGAGTGTTCTATCTACTGCTGGATGAGTGTTCTATCTACTGCTGGATGAGTGTTCTATCTACTGCTGGATGAGTGTTCTATCTACTGCTGGATGAGTGTTCTATCTACTGCTGGATGAGTGTTCTATCTACTGCTGGATGAGTGTTCTATCTACTGCTGGATGAGTGTTATATCTACTGCTGGATGAGTGTTCTATCTACTGCTGGATGAGTGTTCTATCTACTGCTGGATGAGTGCTCTATCTACTGCTGGATGAGTGCTCTATCTACTGCTGGATGAGTGTTCTATCTACTGCTGGATGAGTGTTCTATCTACTGCTGGATGAGTGCTCTATCTACTGCTGGATGAGTGTTCTATCTACTGCTGGATGAGTGTTCTATCTACTGCTGGATGAGTGCTCTATCTACTGCTGGATGAGTGTTCTATCTACTGCTGGATGAGTGTTCTATCTACTGCTGGATGAGTGTTCTATCTACTGCTGGATGAGTGTTCTATCTACTGCTGGATGAGTGTTCTATCTACTGCTGGATGAGTGCTCTATCTACTGCTGGATGAGTGTTCTATCTACTGCTGGATGAGTGCTCTATCTACTGCTGGATGAGTGTTCTATCTACTGCTGGATGAGTGCTCTATCTACTGCTGGATGAGTGTTCTATCTACTGCTGGATGAGTGTTCTATCTACTGCTGGATGAGTGCTCTATCTACTGCTGGATGAGTGTTCTATCTACTGCTGGATGAGTGCTCTATCTACTGCTGGATGAGTGCTCTATCTACTGCTGGATGAGTGTTCTATCTACTGCTGGATGAGTGCTCTATCTACTGCTGGATGAGTGCTCTATCTACTGCTGGATGAGTGCTCTATCTACTGCTGGATGAATGTTCTATCTACTGCTGGATGAGTGCTCTATCTACTGCTGGATGAGTGTTCTATCTACTGCTGGATGAGTGCTCTATCTACTGCTGGATGAGTGTTCTATCTACTGCTGGATGAGTGCTCTATCTACTACTGGATGAGTGCTCTATCTACTGCTGGATGAGTGTTCTATCTACTGCTGGATGAGTGCTCTATCTACTGCTGGATGAGTGTTCTATCTACTGCTGGATGAGTGCTCTATCTACTGCTAGATGAGTGTTCTATCTACTGCTGGATGAGTGCTCTATCTACTGCTGGATGAGTGCTCTATCTACTGCTGGTTGAGTGTTCTATCTACTGCTGGATGAGTGTTCTATCTACTGCTGGATGAGTGCTCTATCTACTGCTGGATGAGTGCTCTATCTACTGCTGGATGAGTGTTCTATCTACTGCTGGATGAGTGTTCTATCTACTGCTGGATGAGTGTTATATCTACTGCTGGATGAGTGCTCTATCTACTGCTGGATGAGTGTTCTATCTACTGCTGGATGAGTGCTCTATCTACTGCTGGATGAGTGCTCTATCTACTGCTGGATGAGTGCTCTATCTACTGCTGGATGAGTGTTCTATCTACTGCTGGATGAGTGTTCTATCTACTGCTGGATGAGTGTTCTATCTACTGCTGGATGAGTGTTCTATCTACTGCTGGATGAGTGTTATATCTACTGCTGGATGAGTGTTCTATCTACTGCTGGATGAGTGTTCTATCTACTGCTGGATGAGTGCTCTATCTACTGCTGGATGAGTGCTCTATCTACTGCTGGATGAGTGTTCTATCTACTGCTGGATGAGTGTTCTATCTACTGCTGGATGAGTGCTCTATCTACTGCTGGATGAGTGTTCTATCTACTGCTGGATGAGTGTTCTATCTACTGCTGGATGAGTGCTCTATCTACTGCTGGATGAGTGTTCTATCTACTGCTGGATGAGTGTTCTATCTACTGCTGGATGAGTGTTCTATCTACTGCTGGATGAGTGTTCTATCTACTGCTGGATGAGTGTTCTATCTACTGCTGGATGAGTGCTCTATCTACTGCTGGATGAGTGTTCTATCTACTGCTGGATGAGTGCTCTATCTACTGCTGGATGAGTGTTCTATCTACTGCTGGATGAGTGCTCTATCTACTGCTGGATGAGTGTTCTATCTACTGCTGGATGAGTGTTCTATCTACTGCTGGATGAGTGCTCTATCTACTGCTGGATGAGTGTTCTATCTACTGCTGGATGAGTGCTCTATCTACTGCTGGATGAGTGCTCTATCTACTGCTGGATGAGTGTTCTATCTACTGCTGGATGAGTGCTCTATCTACTGCTGGATGAGTGCTCTATCTACTGCTGGATGAGTGCTCTATCTACTGCTGGATGAGTGTTCTATCTACTGCTGGATGAGTGCTCTATCTACTGCTGGATGAGTGCTCTATCTACTGCTGGATGAGTGCTCTATCTACTGCTGGATGAGAGCTCTATCTACAGCTGGATGAGTGCTCTATCTACTGCTGGATGAGTGCTCTATCTACTGCTGGATGAGTGTTGTATCTACTGCTGAATGAGTGCTCTATCTACTGCTGGATGAGTGCTCTATCTACTGCTGGATGAGTGTTCTATCTACTGCTGGATGAGTGTTCTATCTACTGCTGGATGAGTGCTCTATCTACTGCTGGATGAGTGTTCTATCTACTGCTGGATGAGTGCTCTATCTACTGCTGGATGAGTGTTCTATCTACTGCTGGATGAGTGTTCTATCTACTGCTGGATGAGTGTTCTATCCACTGCTGGATGAGTGCTCTATCTACTGCTGGATGAGTGTTCTATCTACTGCTGGATGAGTGCTCTATCTACTGCTGGATGAGTGTTCTATCTACTGCTGGATGAGTGCTCTATCTACTGCTGGATGAGTGTTCTATCTACTGCTGGATGAGTGCTCTATCTACTGCTGGATGAGTGTTCTATCTACTGCTGGATGAGTGTTCTATCTACTGCTGGATGAGTGCTCTATCTACTGCTGGATGAGTGTTCTATCTACTGCTGGATGAGTGTTCTATCTACTGCTGGATGAGTGTTCTATCTACTGCTGGATGAGTGCTCTATCTACTGCTGGATGAGTGTTCTATCTACTGCTGGATGAGTGTTCTATCTACTGCTGGATGAGTGCTCTATCTACTGCTGGATGAGTGCTCTATCTACTGCTGGATGAGTGTTCTATCTACTGCTGGATGAGTGCTCTATCTACAGCTGGATGAGTGCTCTATCTACTGCTGGATGAGTGTTCTATCTACTGCTGGATGAGTGTTCTATCTACTGCTGGATGAGTGTTCTATCTACTGCTGGATGAGTGCTCTATCTACTGCTGGATGAGTGTTCTATCTACTGCTGGATGAGTGTTCTATCTACTGCTGGATGAGTGCTCTATCTACTGCTGGATGAGTGCTCTATCTACTGCTGGATGAGTGCTCTATCTACTGCTGGATGAGTGCTCTATCTACTGCTGGATGAGTGCTCTATCTACTGCTGGATGAGTGTTCTATCTACTGCTGGATGAGTGTTCTATCTACTGCTGGATGAGTGCTCTATCTACTGCTGGATGAGTGCTCTATCTACTGCTGGATGAGTGTTCTATCCACTGCTGGATGAGTGCTCTATCTACTGCTGGATGAGTGTTCTATCTACTGCTGGATGAGTGCTCTATCTACTGCTGGATGAGTGTTCTATCTACTGCTGGATGAGTGTTCTATCTACTGCTGGATGAGTGCTCTATCTACTGCTGGATGAGTGCTCTATCTACTGCTGGATGAGTGCTCTATCTACTGCTGGATGAGTGCTCTATCTACTGCTGGATGAGTGTTCTATCTACTGCTGGATGAGTGTTCTATCTACTGCTGGATGAGTGTTCTATCTACTGCTGGATGAGTGTTCTATCTACTGCTGGATGAGTGCTCTATCTACTGCTGGATGAGTGCTCTATCTACTGCTGGATGAGTGCTCTATCTACTGCTGGATGAGTGCTCTATCTACTCCTGGATGAGTGCTCTATCTACTGCTGGATGAGTGTTCTATCTACTGCTGGATGAGTGCTCTATCTACTGCTGGATGAGTGTTCTATCTACTGCTGGATGAGTGTTCTATCTACTGCTGGATGAGTGTTCTATCTACTGCTGGATGAGTGCTCTATCTACTGCTGGATGAGTGCTCTATCTACTGCTGGATGAGTGCTCTATCTACTGCTGGATGAGTGCTCTATCTACTGCTGGATGAGTGCTCTATCTACTGCTGGATGAGTGTTCTATCTACTGCTGGATGAGTGTTCTATCTACTGCTGGATGAGTGTTCTATCTATTGCTGGATGAGTGTTCTATCTACTGCTGGATGAGTGTTCTATCTACTGCTGGATGAGTGTTCTATCTACTGCTGGATGAGTGTTCTATCTACTGCTGGATGAGTGTTCTATCTACTGCTGGATGAGTGCTCTATCTACTGCTGGATGAGTGTTCTATCTACTGCTGGATGAGTGCTCTATCTACTGCTGGATGAGTGCTCTATCTACTGCTGGATGAGTGCTCTATCTACTGCTGGATGAGTGCTCTATCTACTGCTGGATGAGTGCTCTATCTACTGCTGGATGAGTGCTCTATCTACTGCTGGATGAGTGTTCTATCTACTGCTGGATGAGTGCTCTATCTACTGCTGGATGAGTGCTCTATCTACTGCTGGATGAGTGTTCTATCTACTGCTGGATGAGTGTTCTATCTACTGCTGGATGAGTGCTCTATCCACTGCTAGCTCACCTGTCTGTATTGGAGCACCGTACGTGGCAAGGGGTGGAGGTCCTGAAGCTCCATCAGCTGCAGCAACAACAATGGGAGTCCGTGGGTGAGTGAGTGAGTGAGTGTATGAGTGAGTGAGTGAGTGTATGAGTGAGTGAGTGTATGAGTGAGTGAGTGTATGTGTGAGTGAGTGTATGAGTGAGTGAGTGAGTGTATGAGTGAGTGAGTGTATGAGTGAGTGAGTGTATGAGTGAGTGAGTGTATGAGTGAGTGAGTGTCTGAGTGAGTGTATGAGTGAGTGTATGTATGAGTGAGTGTGTATGTATGAGTATATGAGTGAGTGTATAAGTGAGTGAGTGTGTGAGTGAGTGAGTGTATAAGTGAGTATGTGAGTGCATGAGTGAGTGACTGAGTGTATGAGTGAGTGTATGAGTGAGTGAGTGTATGAGTGAGTGAGTGTATGAGTGAGTGAGTGTATGAGTGAGTGAGTGTATGAGTGAGTGTATGAGTGAGTGAGTGTATGAGTGAGTGTATGAGTGAGTGTATGATTGAGTGTATGAGTGAGTGTATGAGTGAGTGTATGAGTGTATGATTGAGTGTATGAGTGATTGTATGAGTGAGTGAGTGTATGAGTGAGTGAGTGTATGAGTGAGTGTATGAGTGAGTGTATAAGTGAGTGAGTGTGTGAGTGAGTGAGTATGTGAGTGCATGAGTGAGTGACTGAGTGTATGAGTGAGTGAGTGTATGAGTGAGTGTATGAGTGAGTGTATGAGTGAGTGAGTGTATGAGTCAGTGCGTGTATGAGTGAGGGAGTCTCTAAGTGAGTCTCTGAGTGAGCCACTGAGTGAGCCACTGAGTGAGCCACTGAGTGAGCCACTGAGTGAGCCACTGAGTGAGCCTCACCACGGCCTCCGAGGTGGAGTGCTGCTGTGTGATGGCCGTGCGCTGCAGCTGGACCCTGTTGCTGCTGCTGCTGCTGCATTCGTGAAGCCTGAGCTTGGAGAACAGCACCTGTGGGTGGGTGGGACAGGGTGTGTGACAGTGTGTGTGTGTTAGTGTGTGTGTGTAACAGTGTGTGTGTGTTAGTGTGTGTGTGTTAGTGTGTGTGTGTGAGAGTGTGTGTGTGTGACAGTGTGTGTGTGTTAGTGTGTGTGTGTTAGTGTGTGTGTGTTAGTGTGTGTGTTAGTGTTAGTGTGTGTGACAGTGTGTGTGTGTTAGTGTGTGTGTGTTAGTGTGTGTGTGTAACAGTGTGTGTGTGTTAGTGTGTGTGTGTTAGTGTGTGTGTGTGAGAGTGTGTGTGTGTGACAGTGTGTGTGTGTTAGTGTGTGTGTGTTAGTGTGTGTGTGTAACAGTGTGTGTGTGTTAGTGTGTGTGTGTGTTAGTGTGTGTGTGTGTGAGAGTGTGTGTGTGTGACAGTGTGTGTGTGTTAGTGTGTGTGTGTTAGTGTGTGTAACAGTGTGTGTGTGTTAGTGTGTGTGTGTTAGTGTGTGTGTGTGAGGGTGTGTGTGTGTGACAGTGTGTGTGTGTGAGTGTGTGTGTGTAACAGTGAGTGTGTGTTAGAGTGTGTGTGACAGTGTGTGTGTGTTAGTGTGTGTGTTAGTGTGTGTGTGTTAGTGTGTGTGTGTGTTAGTGTGTGTGTGTTAGTGTTAGTGTGTGTGTTAGTGTGTGTGTTAGTGTGTGTGTGTGTTAGTGTTCGTGTTAGTGTGTGTGTGTTAGTGTGTGTGTGTGTGACAGTGTGTGTGTGTGTTAGTGTGTGTGTGTAACAGTGAGTGTGTGTTAGTGTGTGTGTGTTAGTGTGTGTGTGTGAGAGTGTGTGTGTGTGACAGTGTGTGTGTGTGATAGTGTGTGTGTGTGTTAGTGTGTGTGTTAGAGTGTGTGTGTGTATGTGAGAGTGTGTGTGTGTATGTGAGAGTGTGTGTGTGTGAGAGTGTGTGTGTGTAACAGTGAGTGTGTGTTAGTGTGTGTGTGTTAGTGTGTGTGTGAGAGTGTGTGTGTGACAGTGTGTGTGTTAGTCTGTGTGTGTAACAGTGAGTGTGTGTTAGTGTGTGTGTGTTAGTGTGTGTGTGTGAGAGTGTGTGTGTGTGACAGTGTGTGTGTGTGATAGTGTGTGTGTGTGTTAGTGTGTGTGTTAGAGTGTGTGTGTATGTGAGAGTGTGTGTGTGTGAGAGTGTGTGTGTGTTAGTGTGTGTGTTAGTGTGTGTGTGTTAGTGTGTGTGTTAGTGTGTGTTAGTGTGTGTGTGTTAGTGTGTGTGTGTGTTAGTGTGTGTGTGTTAGTGTGTGTGTGTTAGTGTTCGTGTTAGTGTGTGTGTGTTAGTGTGTGTGTTAGTGTGTGTGTTAGTGTGTGTGTTAGTGTGTGTGTTAGTGTGTGTGTTAGTGTGTGTGTGTTAGTGTGTGTGTGTTAGTGTGTGTGTGTTAGTGTGTGTGTTAGTGTGTGTGTGTTAGTGTGTGTTAGTGTGTGTGTGTTAGTGTGTGTGTGTTAGTGTTCGTGTTAGTGTGTGTGTGTTAGTGTGTGTGTTAGTGTGTGTGTGACAGTGTGTGTGTGTTAGTGTGTGTGTGTTAGTGTGTGTGTTAGTGTGTTAGTGTGTGTGTTAGTGTGTGTGTGTTAGTGTGTGTGTGTGTTAGTGTGTGTGTTAGTGTGTGTGTTAGTGTTAGTGTGTGTGTGTTAGTGTGTGTGTGTTAGTGTGTGTGTGTTAGTGTGTGTGTGTGTTAGTGTGTGTGTTAGTGTGTGTGTGTGTTAGTGTGTGTGTAACAGTGTGTGTTAGTGTGTGTGTTAGTGTGTGTGTGTTAGTGTGTGTGTGACAGTGTGTGTGTGTTAGTGTGTGTGTGTTAGTGTGTGTGTTAGTGTGTGTTAGTGTGTGTGGTAGTGTGTGTGTTAGTGTGTGTGTTAGTGTGTGTGTGTTAGTGTGTGTGTTAGTGTGTGTGTAACAGTGTGTGTGTGTTAGTGTGTGTGTTAGTGTGTGTGTGTGATAGTGTGTGTGTGTGATAGTGTGTGTGTGTGACAGTGTGTGTTAGTGTGTGCATGTGTTAGTGTGTGTGTTAGTGTTAGTGTGTGTGTGTGAGAGTGTGTGTGTGTGACAGTGTGTGTGTGTGTGACAGTGTGTGTGTGAGTGTTAGTGTGTGTGTTAGTGTGTGTTAGTCTGTGTGTGTTAGTGTGTGTTAGTGTTAGTGTGTGTGTTAGTGTGTGTGTTAGTGTGTGTGACAGTGTGTGTGTGTTAGTGTGTGTGTGTTAGTGTGTGTGTGTTAGTGTGTGAGATAGTATGTGTGTGTTAGTGTGTGTGTTAGTGTGTGTGTTAGTGTTAGTGTGTGTGTTAGTGTGTGTGTAACAGTGTGTGTGTGTTAGTGTGTGTTAGTCTGTGTGTGTTAGTGTGTGTTAGTGTTAGTGTGTGTGTTAGTGTGTGTGTTAGTGTGTGTGTTAGTGTGTGTGACAGTGTGTGTGTGTTAGTGTGTGTGTGTTAGTGTGTGTGTGTTAGTGTGTGAGATAGTATGTGTGTGTTAGTGTGTGTGTTAGTGTGTGTGTGTGTTAGTGTTCGTGTTAGTGTGTGTGTGTTAGTGTGTGTGTGTGTGACAGTGTGTGTGTGTGTTAGTGTGTGTGTGTAACAGTGAGTGTGTGTTAGTGTGTGTGTGTTAGTGTGTGTGTGTGAGAGTGTGTGTGTGTGACAGTGTGTGTGTGTGATAGTGTGTGTGTGTGTTAGTGTGTGTGTTAGAGTGTGTGTGTGTATGTGAGAGTGTGTGTGTGTATGTGAGAGTGTGTGTGTGTGAGAGTGTGTGTGTGTAACAGTGAGTGTGTGTTAGTGTGTGTGTGTTAGTGTGTGTGTGTGAGAGTGTGTGTGTGACAGTGTGTGTGTTAGTCTGTGTGTGTAACAGTGAGTGTGTGTTAGTGTGTGTGTTAGTGTGTGTGTGTGAGAGTGTGTGTGTGTGACAGTGTGTGTGTGTGATAGTGTGTGTGTGTTAGTGTGTGTGTTAGAGTGTGTGTGTGTATGTGAGAGTGTGTGTGTGTGAGAGTGTGTGTGTGTTAGTGTGTGTGTTAGTGTGTGTGTGTTAGTGTGTGTGTTAGTGTGTGTTAGTGTGTGTGTGTGTTAGTGTGTGTGTGTGTTAGTGTGTGTGTGTTAGTGTGTGTGTGTTAGTGTGTGTGTGTTAGTGTGTGTGTGTTAGTGTGTGTGTTAGTGTGTGTGTTAGTGTGTGTGTTAGTGTGTGTGTGTTAGTGTGTGTGTGTTAGTGTGTGTGTGTTAGTGTGTGTGTGTTAGTGTGTGTGTTAGTGTGTGTGTGTTAGTGTGTGTTAGTGTGTGTGTGTTAGTGTTCGTGTTAGTGTGTGTGTGTTAGTGTGTGTGTTAGTGTGTGTGTGACAGTGTGTGTGTGTTAGTGTGTGTGTTAGTGTGTGTGTTAGTGTGTGTGTTAGTGTGTGTGTGTTAGTGTGTGTGTGTTAGTGTGTGTGTTAGTGTGTGTGTTAGTGTTAGTGTGTGTGTGTTAGTGTGTGTGTGTTAGTGTGTGTGTGTTAGTGTTAGTGTGTGTGTGTTAGTGTGTGTGTTAGTGTGTGTGTGTGTTAGTGTGTGTGTAACAGTGTTAGTCCGGCAAAACAACCCCCTACCTCCTCGCGGTGCCGGACGGGCAACTCTGTCGTGGACAGTGCTGTGGGGGCAGTTCCAATTTTGATTGGCTCCTCCCCTCATGGCATATGTGTCCACCACAGGGGCTAAACGGGGGCTCTGGACGGGTGCGAGGGGCTGGTAACCCCTCCACCTTCAATTAATTACCACAAAACCACGAATTAAAGTGAAATATGTAACAACTAAGCTTGTGCCGGAGGCCCCGGGGGGCCAGGCGTCTATGACGTCTCCTGGCCAAACCCCAATTGGCGGAGCCAGGAGATTGAATACCTACCCTCGGGGCTACTCCAGAAACAACGAAAAGCCACTACGGGTGGCCACGTGGAATGTTCGAACGCTCACTGCAGAGGAGAGGCTGCCACTCCTCTGTCGGGAGCTGGACCGGTACCGCCTGGATCTATGCGGCATTCAGGAGGTCCGGTGGACCGGCTCTGGCTCCTGCCACCATGAGGGGTGGACAGTCCTCTACTCGGGGCAGCAGACTGCCAAACAACAGGGTGTGGGTCTTCTTTTGAACAAAAGAATGAAGGGGGCGTGGGAGCGTGGCGGTGAGGTGTGGGAAGCTGTAAGCCCCAGGCTACTTTGGGCTCGCCTTCCCATCAACCGGAGGCGAGGAATGGTGGTCGTGGTTACTTATGCCCCCACCGAAGATGAACATCCGTGGAGGGATGCAGGCAAAGCCGATGAGTCAGATGCCTTCTATGACCTCCTGTCACAGGTGCTGGCTAAAGTGGCCCCTCGGGATAGAGTCATCATGTTGGGTGACTTCAATGCCCGAGTTGGTCATGATACTGGCACCTGGTCTGGAGTGATTGGAGGGCATGGGCCAGATCAGCTCAATAACAACGGTAGGAGGCTGCTAGATTTTTGTGCAGCCCATGGGCTTGTAATTACCAACACGCTGTTCCGGCATCGGCGCATCCACACAACATCATGGATGCATGCCGGGTCCAAGCAAGAACATCTGCTGGACTACATAGTGACGGACCAGCGAATGCGAGCCCATGTCCTTGACACCAGGACCTACCGTGGAGCTGATCTGCCCTCTGACCATCGACTAGTCATCTGTAAGATGCGCCTGCCATTCTTCCACTCCGGTGGTGGGTGTACACCCAGGACCCCATTCCAACCTAAAGTGGCCTGGTCTCAGTTATCTGATGAAAGTTGCAAGCGAGAATTTCATCATCGCTTGCGGCTGGGATTGGCATCGTCCCCGACTCCTCCTGATGTCGAGGGTAAATGGGCGAGGTTTAGGACTGTGACTCATGCAGCTGCAATGGCTGCTTTGGGTACGCGGTCCAGACCTCCCCAGACACCCTGGATGACAGAGGAGTTGTTCAGGATGGTTGAGAAAAAGCGACAGGCCCACTGTCATCGGCTACAGAATCCCACGTCAGAGAATGAGGA